CCTCTGGAGGGAACTAATAACTGAGGCCTTGTCTATTTAAAATGCTTTCCTGAGCCTGACTAGAGTTTAGTCAAGCAGTTTCTAGTTAGGCAAAATCAGGTAAAATCAGTTTGGTCCTTACAATTTCACATCTTCAGACTGTCTCAATCCCTATCTCAGAGCCCTGTTGTTCCAAGGTTGAGCATGCATCACTATTTACCTCTGTCTGATTTAGCCCATGCAAACCTCACTCAGTGTTCCCGTCTACCTTGTTCTTCCATCCCCTTCCTTCCCTTGCAGTTTTCTTACGCAGATTGATGAAAGTTTGAAGTCTAACTGAAACTAAATAAGTAATTCTAGAATCATGTTAGAAAGCTTTATTTTCACTACATTCTTCTATTTAATACAGTAAGTCAATGCAAGCTATTAGGAATGGATGAAATATATAAATTTGCATTCAACTTTTAGCAGAATGTGGTATTAATTTTAGAACGGCTGTGAATCATAGCTAGGTGTTAAATACATGGTGGGAAAATGAGGATTGTAGGAGGAAAAACATGAATATCCTTTTGTGAATCGTTAAATTTTGCCAAATATATATGTGATTAAAATTTTTCATTGTGTCTTGTCTGTTAGAGAAGAAAAGGGTATTCTTGTACTACCCCTTTTTATCTTACATAAATTCAAATAATTTTTGTAATGCTTTATTTTCAGGCACGCTCCTACAACAAGCAGATGCGACCTGCAATTTTAGATCACTGTTCTGGAAATAAGTGGACAAGCACATCTCATCACCCAGAGTATTTGGTAGGAGAAGAGGTAGGAAATTTCTTTATGATGAAAAGTGGAAGAAGCGAAACCTGATTGTAGTGCTGAAATTCATTTAGTTTGCCACCTAATTCTGGTTGTTTCTGTTTCCTAATCCTATTTCAAAGTACCAGATGTTCTCACTGGCTACTGAAATGTTAGCTACTCTACTTTGAGCATTTAGAATTCCTGGCCTTAGTTTTTAGATGTGAGTCTAGAAAATAGTAAGAAAAGAGTTTCTACTAATGTACTCCCTCCCCCTTCTTTTAGGCCTTGTATGTTAATCCTTTGGATTGTTACAATATTCACTGGCCCATTAGAAGAGGTCAGTTAAATATTCACCCTGGACCTGGGGGCTCCCTAACGGCTGTTCTGGCAGATATTGAAGTAATATGGTCTCATGCAATACAAAAATACTTGGAAATCCCACTAAAAGATTTAAAGGTAAGCTACGATTCATAATTACTTGGATTTTGTGTAATATTTGTGATCAGTCTTCTGAATATTTAGTCACTTAAAACCTTATGAAAAACACAGATATAGTGCCGGAAAATAAGCCCCTCAGGTTGGAAGACATTCAAAATGCCACTGGGGAAAAGCTGCCTCCTCAAAGTAGAGTTGAGCCCGTGGGACCATCATTTGCTGATGGGGCACAACTCAAAATGAAGAAAAACAGCTATAAACATCCATTAATAAAAGGAACATGGAAAGAACAAACTGAAGATCAAGGCGCAAAGCCTTTGTTATGGATTGAGTCTCAATGTAAAGAAAACAAAAATCCTCACCACTGGACTAGTAAACAACATTCTTATCAATGCAGAAAAGATTCAAGTTGTCTAAGAATTCTTGGATCAGCTGTCAACACTCATGGAAGCAGCAATCAAGAAATCAGACGACGTGTTATTGCATTAGGCAAATCTGCTGCACAAGACCTTTTTAAAGGGTTGAAGAGCAAAGATGTCATCTTGAAGATTAAAGTGCTCTTAAGGAGCTCTGGTAGCGTAATGGTTACGAATCAGGCTGCCAACCTCAAGGTCAGCAGTTCGAAACTACCAGCTGTTCCGCGGGAGAAAGATGAGGCGTTCTGCTCCTGTAAAGATTTACAGCCTCGGAAACCTTGTACAGGGTCGCTATGAGTTGGAACTTACTCCACAGGTCACAGCCACTACCACCAACCCAAGCTATGGTATTTTCAGTCACCTGATATGCATGTGAAAGCTGGACAGTGAATAAGGAAGACAGTAGAAGAATTGATGCTTTTGAGTTATGGTATTGGAGGAGAATACTGAAAGTATCATGGTCTGCTAAAAGAACAAACAATCTGTGTTGGAAGAAGTGTAGCCAGAGTGTTCCTTGGAGGCCAGGAAGGCCAAACTTCATCTCTCATACTTTGGACATAATTGTCATGAGGGACCAGTTGCTTCTGGAGAAGGATATCATGTTTGGTAAGGTGTAGGGTTAGAGAAAAAGAGGAGGACCTCCACTGAGATGGGTTGGCAAAGTGGTAGTATTGATGGACTCAAGCATGGTAACAATTGTTTGAGGTTGGCTTAGGGCCGGGCAGTGTTTCCTTCTGTTGTACACAGGGTTGCTATGAGTCAGTACCAACTCGATGGCACTTCACAACAACAAGAGCACACATTACTGACTTCTTCACATTACAGTGTTCTTTCCTTCTTGAATTGTAACTGTTCCTGAGGATTTGTTTCACTTAGTTCTCCTATTGTGCTCTTCCTTTTCTTAAACTCTGTTGTTTTTTACGTGCCCTTCTCTCTATAGCTCTTTAATAAGCAAATGGGGACAAAGCTAATGTTTTAGAAGCTTGTTTGTGTTTATGCCTTCTCTCTGGTCCTTATCTAGACACGGGAGTTGTCTTTTTATTTCTCAATTTTTAAATGATTCAGAATGAAAAACAAAACAATTTTCCATTTCTTCACAAAACCCAGTAGGTAGCAGACAAAATAGTCTTCTCTTTTGAGCCTTTAACTGTAGTTGCTGTTCTTCGAGAAAATCTTCTCTGAAGGCAAATATGTGTGAGAATTGTTTGACTGGAATTAAGTGTTAATCCTTTTTTTTTCTTTTTCACTTTTTAGTATTATAGATGTATCTTGTTAATTCCTGATATCTATAATAAGCAGCATGTGAAAGAATTAGTGAATATGATCCTAATGAAGATGGGCTTTTCAGGTATGTCTGACATTCCAATGAAACCCTCCTTAAATGAGATATTTCTGATTTTTCAGTAACAAAGTTACACTGACTCACTGGTTTATTTGAATACTTATTCTGAGAACTCAGATCTGCTCAGAGCTTTGCCCAGAGATCGTCGATGTGACTATCATTGCTGTTCCCAGTCGATCAGTCTGCCTTTCATTTTCTAGGTATTGTGGTCCACCAGGAGTCTGTGTGTGCCACCTTTGGAAGTGGCTTAAGCAGCACGTGTATTGTAGATGTTGGGGACCAGAAGACAAGCGTATGCTGTGTAGAGGATGGGGTGTCTCATCGCAACACTCGGTAAGGAACCCTCTCCCCCTGCAGGCTGTTTGATTCTAAAACATCACAAATTAGAAAATAATCACAGATTAAGAAGTTATTACATATGCAAAACCACTGCATTGGAAACCAGAAAGATTGTGAAGGTGTGTATTGTAGCAAGGCTAGCTAAATAAATGACTTTTACCTGCCCCATTGAAACTCTTTAACATGAATACACAACAGCAATTCCTGAAAGTACTAGTATAGATTATGTGTTTCCCTCAAAGGAAGCACATGTGTTGTCTTGTTTTTACTATGGTCTGCCTTACAGATACCAACCATACTTTCATAGCGGCACAGTGTACAACAGAACGAAACACTGCCTGGTCGTGTGCCACCTCACAATCATTGTTAACACTTGAGCCCATTGATGCTGTCCCTATGTCAGTCCATCTCATTGGTGATCTTCCTCTGTTTTGCTGACCCTCTACTTTACCAAGCATGATATCCTTCTCTAGGGACTGATTCCTCTTGTTAATATGTCCAAAGTGTGAGAGAGGAAGTCTGGCCATCTTGACTTCTATTGATCATTCTGGCTGTACTTCTAACACAGATTTGTTTGTTCTTCTGAAAGTCCATGGTACTTTTAACTCAAATCCAACACTGTAGTTTAAATGCATCAATTCTCCTATGATCTTCTGTATTCATTATACAATTTTTACATGCATATAAGGTTACTGAAAATACCATGGCTTGGGGCAGGCGTACTATAGTCCTCAAACTGACATCTTTGCCTTTGAACACTTTAAAGTGGTCTTTTGTAATAGATTTGCCTAGTGCAATACATCGTTTGATTTCTTGATGTTCCTTCCATGAGTGTTGATGGTAGATCCAAGCAAAATGAAATCTTTAATAACTTCAATCTTTTCTCCTTTTATCATGATGGTAATTATTAGACCAGTGGTGAGGATTTTTGTTTTCTGTATATTGAAACTCATTCTGGAGGCTGTGATCTTTTAGCTTCATGAGTAAATATTTTAAATCATCGTCGCTTTCAGAAAGCAAGGTTGTATCCTCTGCATATCATAGGATGTTACTGATTCTTCTTCCAATCCTGATGCTACATTCTTCATATAGTCCAGTTCTTGCATTATTTGCTGAGCATCCAGATTGAAAAGTATGGTGAAAGAATATAACCCTGGTGCACACCATTCATGATTTTAAACCATTCAGTGACCCCTTGTCTGTTCGAACAACTGCCCCTTGGTCTTTGTACAGGTTCCTCATGAGCACAATTAAGTGTTCCTAGATCCCAGTTATTCATAATATTTTCCATAGGTTGTCATGATCACTAAATCAAAAGCCTTTGCATAGTCGATAAAGCACAGGTAAACATCTTGTCTGAATCTGACTTGGAACTTCTAAAGTTTCATGTCTATGTACTGTTGCCACTGTTTTTGAATTATCATTACCAGAATTTTACTTGCGTATGATATTAATGATACTGTCTGATGATTTTCACATCTGTTGGGTCACCTCCCTTTCGAATGGGGTACAAATATGGATCTCTTCCATTCAGTTTGCCAGGTAGCTGTGTTCCAAAGTTCTTGGCATAGGTGAGTGAGTGCCTCCAGTGATGCATCAGTGTTTTGAAATATTTCAATTTGTATTCCATCAGTTCCTGGAGCCTTGTTCTTTGCAAATGCCTTCAATGCACCTTGGACTTCTACCTTCAATACCATTAGCTCTTGATTCGTATACTAACTTGAAATGGTTGAACATTGACCATTTCTTTTTGGTACAGTGACTCTGTTTATTCTTACATCTACCTGGTGGAGCACTGTAGAGTAAACATTGGATTGCTAACTGTAAGTCTGGCAGATCAAACCCACCAGCCACTCCTCAGAAAACCTATACAAGACTGCTAGGAATTGGAACGAACTCAACAGCACTTAATAAACAAGAAAAGACACTCATAGCAAAGATTTTTTTTAGGCCAGGTCATACTAGAGAGAATAGATTTTTTGTAAAGTCTGATTTTTCTAGCTAGCTCTTATTTGAGTATTTGCTTTCCTTGTCATATGACACTTAGTAGTGTGTGGTGCTGTGGGTTAATGCACTAAATTGCAAAGTCGGTTTGAACCACAAAGTTGGCAGTTCAGGCTTACCAGCTGTTCCTTGGAAACCCTCTGCAGGGTTGCTATGGGTCAGAACTGACTTATCAGCTCTTAACAACAACAAGTAACTTCATGTTTTCCATGTCCCTTAACTGTGCCATCACTGATGAATGATTGGTAAATTAGCTATCAGAAGCAGATTTGCCGCTCGTGTTTCCTGAAGTGAGCCCAGCACAGGAGAGCAGACTCAGGTACTGCACATACGGGTCTTCTGCAGCTTCTGTGTTCCTGAGATGTTTTCTTCTCTTCACCCACATTAGGTAGTCTGTGTCTCCAGGTATAAAACACATTTTCAAAGAAAACTTAAGCAATGCATCCCTAATTATAGAGCATTCTCAAACCCTGTATGAGTTTTTTTAATTCATGTATTGTTTGTGTTACATACATAATGCTATGGGCTCTCAGGTTGTGGAGAAAACACTAAACCTATTTCTCCTACCACTAAAATATGAGCAGACTTGAAAAAGTTTGTGGAAGCAGTGGAATTGAAAACTAATGGAATGTTTCAACAAACTTTTATTTTTAAGCTTTTAATGTGAATTGAGTTTACATGAGAGAACAACGCACTCAGTCAATTGTATTTTGTTTCATTACAGTGATTACAATTGCCTCCATGCACCATCAGTTAAGAGTCTTTGCCTCTAGTCCATCTTTTTTTTTTGGTATACACAAAAGCATGCAGAGATATATAATAGTTTAAACAACCAAAGGGCACATTTTACATGCCAGCCTCTTACTCATCAGCACACAGCATTTCTTATTCCATGGGTCTAGAGACCTCAGCTGCTCTGTCTCTCCATGCCATCACCTCTACCTCTTTCTCTGGTGTCGCTGCTTCTACAGTTAGGGTCCCACGTTCTGCTCATGCTCTTTTCTCTTGATGGTCTAAGGGTCCTCTGTTTCTGGAATGTGAGGTTACCTACTCCCCCCTTCTTGTTACACAACTTCTTCCTTTACAGTCGTGGTGATTACAGTTAGTCTTAATAACAATTACAATTGAATCAAAAGAATCCCATCCACATCTCCTTTCATCAGACCCCATCTAGACAAGATGAAAACTACTCATTGGGAATTCTACCTTCCACTGTTCACTCTGAAACTAAACTCCCTCTTGAAAACTTGTAAGCCAGCCACTTTGTGCCTTTATGTTGTTGTTAAGTGCTGTCAAGTTGGTTCTGAACCATTGTTGTTGTTGTTAGGTGCCATTGAGTCGGTACTGACCCATAGCGACTTTGTGCACAGCAGAACAAAACACTGCCTTATCCTGGGCCAACCTCACTATTGTTACCATGCTTAAGTCCATAGATGCTGCCACTTGGCCAATCCATCTCGTTGGGGGTCTTCCTCTTTTTCTCTGACCCTCAATCTTACAAAACATAAAATCCTTCTCCAGTGACTG